GTGTGTGTGTGTGTGTGTGTGGGAGTGTGCCACTGCCATGCGTACAGTTTCGAACCGTAGGAGCATGCAACAGTAAGAACTAGCGCTGTAGGTCCTGGGAGATTCCGGGGCGAATGTTTCCTGTCATCAACACCTAGATCTCACTAGTGCATTGACCGGAGGGTCAAAGACCCCGCAATGCCCGGTAGAACGTTCATCCCAACAGCATTGGTTTCAAACGTAAACGTTGGTATGTTTTGTTGGGTATCTTGATACTATAACTTGATCACTTGTTCATTCGAGGTTAAAACGTTATAAAAAAACAACAACTAATAACTCTTTAATCTTCTCAAGTATTTGAAGGCGGGAATAAAAGTTGGATGCACGACTTGTTCATTCTAGGTTAAAACGAGATAAAAAAAACAACAACTAATAACTCTTTAGTCTTTTCAAGTATTTGAAAGCGGGTCTAAAAAGTTGGATGACCAACAGAATCTAAGAGCCCATTAATGAAGGCCACTGCAAACTAAGGCTCCGACATGTTTTCTTTGACGTAAACCTGATGTGGGTCCAACAATCAATAGAAGAACAGGTTAGTACTCATACTAATATAATGGTGACGTCTATATAGTCTTTGAAAGAAAAACTACGTGCTTAGGCCGAAAATATATTCTAACTCCGTCCGCCTGGGATCTGAAAATTGAAGGCGGTTGACGGATGCAAAAGCATCTATACTGTACCCGCCATTCCGTGTCTTCGGGGATTTAACTAATTTGAAACAATGGCACTGTTTAGGAAACAATGATTAGCATTGCTGTTGTATTTGTGAAAAAGGAGGCTCAGTAGACTCTGATCAGTGTCCAGTCATCCTATAAACATGTTAAGAAACAAATGTGATGGATATCATAACTTAATGACCCAGTTGCAACATGATACCCAAAAATTCAAAGAGTATTTTCAAATGGACCAGTCAACATTTGACACACTTGCTCACGAGACGTGTCAATTATGAAAATCGTAAATCCTTTGCTTCTGAGGGTTTTCGAGAATATCAAATATGAAATTTGAATAAATTTTTAATTATATTCTAGTTGTTGTTTTTTTTCTGTCCTGGCTGGAGAGATGACTCATTTCCTGTCTAGAATCGGCCATCCTGACGGATAGAATGCTGCGTGCAACAATCAAACCCGGCTGTCTGCAGACAAAGTCTGCAAGCTGGACTTGCTATAATAGGTCCATCCATCAACTCTTTGTATATATAGTAACCTAGGCACACTGCATTTTGTTCGTCAGTTTGTTATCTTCAATCCAGGCTTCCCCCCACCAGGGCAGTGCTACTGACTGAACTTGCCCTTAGGCCATTCCAACAGGAGGGATATTAACATGTTCTTATGCACAGTAGAATTGTAAATTGTCTGGTTTATCAACCTCATGCTCATACAGTACTGGAACAACAGAGGGGGAATTGCTGCCTTTTCTAACCTCATCCTTCCTATCGTCATTTTTCCTCTACGTGTACTTTTTTGTATGTGTATCACTGTCTTGTGAACTGGGGTGCCTTGATTGTCGAAGCAGAGTTTGTGCTGTTGAGGCTAGAGAGGTGAGCAGAGTGAGCCTGATTACCCGTAAGGACTTCTCTGTTGAAATCAGGCGCAGTTCGTCCATACAGCAGTGCAGTGTCGCCCAAATGTTTTAAGGTTCTAGGCCTATGTCGCAAAGCACCCACAATAACAAATAAATAAAAGAAGCACGAAACAAACTCTAGCCAAATAATATTATATCAAAACAAGGTCCTCGCCGGCGCCGTAACTGTTATTTCTGTATCTATAGCGCCGTAAAACATCTACTAAGCCATGCCAAAGTCCTCGCGCTTTACTTACTTACTCTCACTCACTTACTCTCTCCCTATACCGTCAGGTACATAAGGCGGAGAGCAGTCGACGCCACGCTTGTCTGTCCCGGGCCTCTTTCTCCAATTTCGGCACCTCGAGGCCCTGGGCGACTGCCTCATCTCTTATTGTGCCTCTATAGCTTCCCCTTGGTTTTCCCCGCTTTCTCTTTCCAATTGGTTTCTAAATCCATGTCTGATAGGGCAATCCCGTCGTCGGCATTCAACGCGCTTTAACTAAACATAATAGGATATTATACAGTGTTGACCTGAACTATAAATCGTTCTTTGGGATAACCCAAGCGATGACGACACCTTTAGCGAGTTTGGCGGTACATCAATATTAATAAGACGGAATATCTCAAATGTACTCCTGCCGAAAGGTTCCGAAACACAGCCCACAGTAGGCTGTCTAAAAATAAACGCAATAGACTGTACATTTTTCTATGCCAAAATCATGTGAGCCCGGAGCAATCCAGCAGAGTGCTCAAGTGAACTGTGATTATTTCCTTGTCTTTAAGTGACTCTGTGACCGTGAACCCGAGGGAGGTGAACGTGACACACTTTAAAAGTCACAGTCCTGTGAGTTGTGTATTTGGATGGTTTTGTAGTGGAGTGGTAAAATTTATTATATGAGTGTTCAGTTCTTGTGCAGGATGAACGAAATTGATGTGTAGCTTACAAACAAATTAAATTCTAGAATCAAAGCGACAAGTAAAAAAGGAGTGAAATTATAAGCATGAGGTCATCCCTCACCAACCCAAAGATCATAAAATTATACATCCTCTGATTTACTTTGCCCTTGGCTATCTTTAGCCGGCGATAACTTAATTGTGCATGTCCACTTTTTAGCTCCACTAGCCGCCCCTGGTTGACATCCACCCCTTGGCGCTCATATGACCTTGCTCAGTTGCGGTGGCAAAGCTCCTAACCGCTACACCACAGACGCAGGTGAGCTCTTGGGTGCAGAAAAAAAGGGAAAACAAAAACGGCCTTTGTCTATTTTCGACCGCACACCAACAAGGCTGGGACAGAGTGGTGTCGCTGTCTGATAATGACCAATCTCTAGGCCACCTTACTGTGAATAATTGTTGTTCATTAACCCAAAGTCCTGAGTTTAGTACAAGGACCGAATGAAGAATCTTTTCTTTAATTACTGGATAAAGATTTTTTTAAAAACGGTTTGCCACTGGCTTGTGAAAAAAATGGTCTGCAAAGTTACGTGCGCGTTGGGAAATTAATAAACGAGTTAGAATTTGTTTAGCAGGGACAGGCAAACGTGAACACGCTATAGCAATATGGTTATAAGAGTTATAAGTTTAAAAAAAATAATTTGTTTAGTTTGTTTTATGTGGTCCATAAAAAATAGCGAATAATATAACGGTCGGAGGGCAACACAGCTATACGTTTTTCACACACGCACACACCCACACACACGC